ATGTCATGCTTGGTAGGGTGGAGGGTCGACGACAGAGGGGGAGGCCTTCAACGAGATGGATTGACTCGGTGGCTGCGATGATGGGCTCCAGTATAGCAGGGATTGTGGGGATGGCGTGGGATCAGGCAGTGTTTCGTTCTGCTGTTCATGGGGTCGCTATGAGTCACAAACGAGTCGACGGCACTTAACAACAACACAGTGTAGTCAGAGGTGCATGATACCCCAGTTTTCTTAAAGTTTAAATAATCCGTTTAAATTCAATAGCAATTTATTAACTAGTTATATCAGAGAAAACACCTTTTTTGGTAAGGCTTTTTATGGAGCTTTGGTGGCATAGTGCCTAAAATATTTGACTGCTAACTGGAAGGTTGATGGTTCAAACCCACCAGCCTCTCTGCGAAGGAAGATCGGCCAATCTACTTCCATAGAGATAGCGCTTCGGAGACCCAAAAGGGGTTGCTGTGTGTCAGAAATGACTCGATGGCAGTGGGTATGTTTTTTTTAATAACAAATTTGGTCCCTATTTTATGGAAATAATACAGACTTTTAATTTTTTTTTATTGTGATTTGGGTGAATGTTTACAGAGAAAATTTACTTTCCATACAGCAGTTCTCACACACATTGTTTAATGACATTGACTACATTTTATCCCAATGCAACAGCTCCCGTCTCATTTCCTCCCGGTAGTTACCTCTTCTCTGTGTCCATCCCTCCATGTACTCCTGGCCCCTGAACTGTCTCCCTGTGCATAAACAGCCCTTCTTTCTCCCATGATTGTTCTCTCCAAGGGGGGTATCTACCTCAGGTACATGTTCAACTCAAATGCCTGTCTTTTGTTTGGCTGGAAGCCACAGGTGTGGGTTCAATTCCAGACCTGAAGGGCAGCTAGGGGTAAATAGTACATACTTTTTATAGAAAACTTGGAAAATACTTGAGAAAAATTTTACCTATTGTTGTAGAACTTGCAGGTAACTACTTTTAATATTTAGCTATATTTAGTGACATTTCAAACAATGTGTCAAGAACTTATGAAAGTATATTAAGATTGAAGTTTTTTTTCCTGTGTGGGTTGGTTGTCATTTGCCTTTCATTGTGGAATTTCTGTTTGTATCTTATGCCTTTGTTTTGTTACTGTTTGTGTTTTTATATGTCTATGGTAGCATAGTGGCTAAGACACTTGCCCGCTAACCAGACGGCTGGCGGTTCAAACCCACCAGCCACTCCTCGGAAGGAAGGTTGGGCAATCCTACTTCTGTAGTGATACTGCCTCGGAAACCCAAGGAGGGGTCACTATGAGTCAGGTTTGACTCGACCGCACACCACAACAACAACAACAACTATATTGGTTATTATTAAATTAGCAAATTTATAAGTACTTGGTACTTACTGTTTAAAAAATTTGTTAAAGAGGAATAAATTAATTTGTAGAAACTTTTTAAACAGTTAAATGTTAACTCTTTTACTACATTATGTTAATATTTTTTCCAGTGTCCTGTCTCGATTTTACTTACTTCTTTTTTGAGCATACCAAAGTATAAAATGCTATCAAAATTTTATAAAAGTTATCAAATATTTTCCAATGAAGTTTATTTATCTTTATGGCTGTAGTCCTTATATCAGATAAATTATGAACCACACATTTTCAGAGTTAGTGTTATGGGAAGTAAAGTTTTTTGCATTGAAAAATCATTAAAATGTAGTGAATAAGTCTGCAGCTTGTTTTAAATAGTTCATCTGAACAAAACAGTGTATTTGTGGAGAAAGCAAATGGAGGAAGAGGTTAACAGTTGGTAAATATAAAGGAAGGACAAATGAATTACCATTATAATCTTCTCTCAACTTTTCTGTAAATTTGACATTTTTCAGAATAACAAGTTGGGTAGGGAAAATGTATTTGTGGTACCTCAGAAATCAGCTAAGCTTCTGGGAGTTTTGAGACCTACTTTACCATGTGAAATATATGGTAAATTTTATAACAAGGAAG